ACAGTAAAAAAACTAAAAACAGTTTAAAAGGAGAGTGATTAGTAAAATATGCATAAATAGAAAGAAAGAATGCTAACTAGGTAACATAAGATAAGAATAAACCAGTTTAAATTATTTGTTATTGGTTGTGATCATATTCTAAAGATGATTGGATTATTGAAAAGTATACAGCTCCCTTTCATCTGAGTGTTGAGAGCTGTATCCATAAATTCACCAGAATTGATGGATACACCAGAGTGCACCAGCATTCAACATTTTAAAAAACATCTCCTCCCTAGAGGAGGTGAGGCCCGTCCACCCCCAAATAAAGCAGGTTAAAATAATTAGATTGCATACATGTTCTTTTAATAAACACTGAAAACGGGTCCCACAGACCCAAACAGCACACAAAGGTTAAAGGTAAGCATATTAACATTCAAATGTGCTAAATATATACACTGCAAAACAAAAAAAGAGGAGTAAAAGTAGCCCCCGACTTGTTTTATTTTTTTTGAAAGTAGCCCTCACCCTAAAAAGGTTGGTGACCCCTGCTCTACGGCATACCATCCAACCTCCTCAATAAACTCTAACATATCCAGAGCTCTGCTGCCCGCCTCCTCACCCACTCCCGAGACCACATCACTCCCGTCCTCCAGAACCTCCACTGGCTCCCCGTCCAACAAAGAATCACTTCAAAAATCCTCCTGATTACTCCAACAGCCCTCAACACCAGCCCCCCCCCCCTACCTCACAGACCTGCTGCACCCCCACCACAACCCCTTCTCGCTGCCTCCGCTCATCAGAAGCCAACCTCCTATCCATCCCCACCCACATCAATCAACCGGACCTGGGGGACAGAGCCTTCTCTGTCACTGCCCCCTCCCTCAGGAACTCACTCCCAACAACCCATCAGAGACTGCAACTGACCTCACCACCTTCAAAAAACTTACAAACTCACCTCTTCAATCTGGCTTTTAGTGTGTGATTGTTTTTGTATGGCTTCATTTTAAATTTGACTTTAACTATATATATTATTTTGTTGTTCTTTTCACTATATCTGTAAAGCCTCTTTGAGCACCTGTAAAAGCGCTAACAAAATAAATCTATTATTATTATTATGAAGTATTATGCGTCAAAATCGAAATTTGTAAAGTCACTAGTAAATACATATTTTAAGTGCAGTGAAAAATAAAAAATGTCTTTCCAAATTGTAAGCAGAGTAGAAATATTAAGAAGTACAAAACAAAAATACTTGGGTAAAGTACAAGTACTTCAAATGTTGTACTTAAGTACAGTACTTGAGTAAATTTACTTAAGTACAGTACTTGAGTAAATGTACTTAGTTACTTTCCAGCACTGATGTTAGCTATGTTAGTGACATGATCCAATATTCTCTAATTTTCAATACACTTAACAGAAGAAAGGTAGCATTTACTCTAAGTTTACTTAGATCATTACAACAGCAGGGGCATACGTAGCTGTGGTCCTACCGCTGATGGCTAGCATACTTCTCTGTTAGCAAACCCCTTATTTGAATCATGTAGCATAGATAGCTAGCTTTGCTAGCCTGTTGGGTACGTACTCTCGTGAAATGACCTCTTGTGGCCTGCTGTGGAGATAATGGTTATCCGGCGTTGAAGCTGAAAAGGGTCCACAAGGTGCAGGTGGTGTGTGTCCTGGGGGGGGGGGCCCTACAGGGCCCCTCCGTGTCTGAAAGGAGGGCCATGGCGTGGCAGAGGGTCCGAACGGCGGCGGGCCGTGTGCAGGTTTACCCGGGCGGTACATGTCGTGTCCAGGTTTACCGGGCGGTACATAGTTGGTGTTCAAGAGGGCATTCAAACTCCTCCACCGAAGAGTGAATACACCAAAGGGAAACTATTTCTAAGCAAATGTGCTGTTAAACGTGTTTTTCTACAGTCGGCTGCACAGATGCTTAAAAACCTGCACACCGGGAAATATTACAGTGAGAAAGGACAACATCCGGAGCAATTCCTTCAGAATAAAAGTCTACGTCAGCACGGAGTTAAACATTACCGGTGTTGCAGTATAACTTGAGTCATGACAAACTGCGACATTCTATTATTTTCGTCATAGGAATCCGGGGCGTATACATTGAGGACCCATTGTTGACTTACCATGTCGATCGCCTCGTTTGTCGTTTACGTTCATCTTTTGCTATATCTTCCTTCATAAGATCACTTGATGCACATTCAGTACTCGTATGTGAGGTTGTGGGTGAGAGGTGGATATCGTGACGCTTATAGGGAGGTATCGAACATTACAAAGTAGGGTGACTGTGTGGATGCCTGTTCAAATATATTGCAAACTTGAATAAATCATTTAAATTATATATTTGTGTCCGACTTTCATTTGTACATCGTTCTTAATGTGATGTATAGTAGCTTTGATAGCTGTCCATACCTTCAGACAGCCTAAAAGTAAAAACACAAGTCGTTTATTCACAGCCCGAACGCTCATCGAGATGACTGGATCAGCTTTACAGCTTTAGCCTTTTTATCTCATGAAGTCCCTAAGTGACACACACTGAACAGTCTGGTGGGTTATGGTCCTTGTCATTTGTTTTTGTGTTCCCATAACAACATGTCCAAGATGTCCATGTGCCAGGCTAACACATGTGACAGAACTAGCTACATTTGGAAAGGTTTTTTGTTGCTAAAGTTAACATTCAAGCCATTTAAGAATAAAAATGCTTACATGACATGTAATTTGTTAAACATTAAGCTGTCTTCGGCTCTTTTCTGATTTGTTGTAGAAACATTTATTGATTAAATTGATATGAAACAAATGCCATAAATATTGCTGTGACACTGATGTCACATCGGGACATTAACCCTAAACATTCACAGTAAACCCGGAGTGACATATATGCACAATTACAAATATGATTATGATCTGCTCAGTTAATTTAGCTGATTCAATTATATTTAGTTAACATATTCTTTATTATTCAATTCAAAGTATGGTTCAAACAAATGTAAACCAAAAAATCATCCTCATTAATGAAGTTATAATAAGAGTTACTTTACCATTAAAGCCCAATGTGACATATATGTCACATTTCAGATATTTTACACTAGGGGGAGTTACTTGTTAGAAATCTGTTCTCGGTGGTCTATTTAGTCTAAATGACGTTCCCCTTAATTTCCCAAAAGTAGAAATGGGTCCGGGTTCTTATGGGTTAAACGTATAGGCTTAAAGGCATAATAGAACTACTGTATTATATGTATTCAACGTGTGCCCCGCTGGACTTACTTTTCTGTGGTTTACCGTTACTGTGACATATCAGTATAGCCACGGAAGATAGTTTGTGTGTTTCATTCCCATGCATCAAGGTTATTTTCATGTATGTAATTGTTTTTCCTGCACAGAGTCTTGTTGTGATGAGAGGGATACAGGTATTTCATTAAAAAAAACGTGCTCCCTGGAGAATAGGTACAGAATTGATATCACAATTTAATCGGAGCTGATCACAACTTGTCATGAGTGATCCAGTCATGTCGATGAGCGTTCGGGCTGTGAATATAAACAACTTGTGTTTTACTTTAGCCTGTCTGAAGGTATGGACAGCTATCAAAGCTATACATCACATTAAGAACGATGTACAAATGAAAGGGACACAAATATATAATTTAAATGATTTATTCAAGTAGTATATTTTGAACAGGCAGCCACACAGTCACCTACTTTGTAATGTTCGATACCTCCCTGTAAGCGTCACGATATCCACCTCTCACCCACCACCTCACATACGAGTACTGAATGTGCATCAAAGTGATCTTATGAAAGGCAGATATAGCAAAATATGACGTAAACGCAAACGAGGCGATCGACACTGGTAAGTCAACAATGGGTCCTCAATGTACACGCCCCGGATTTCCTATGACGAAAATAGATAGAATGTCGCCAGTGTCATGACCTCAAATTATACTGCAACACCGGCACTTGTTCTTTTAAATAGGCTCTGTGCACAAGATGGCGTCTATCAACTTCCGACGGCTTGGGTGGTGCGGCTGGAGTACTTCCGGTTTGAGTACATAGTTTTGACAGCTGGACAGTTTGTTATGTCACACCGAGAGCAAGAATGGAGCGGGATTTCGGGGTAAAAGAAAAGCGATTGGCCTTCCAGCGTGTAAGAAAGTCGCCACTACATTGCTGTGTGCCCCTTTGTACAAATTCTGTCCCGTTATCAGAATACCTTTATTAGTCCCACAGAGGGGAAATGTACAGCGTTGAAGCAGGAAAGAGCCACAGACAGCTTAGTGTTGAATATCTGACATGCGTTAAAAAGTACTAAGTTATAATATAATAAACAATATGCTAAAAAGTACTAAGTTATAATATAATAACCATATGCTAAAAAAAAGATACATAATTTTCAAAAATACAGATAAAAAAAAATAAAGTATATATTTGGCACATAAAGCACATAGTTTGACGGTATTAACAGCAGCAAGTTACACAATGTTATAATCGGGAGATAAGTTTCCATTCATTTCGGCAAGCCTGGGCAACAACGATTAAAGATTTCTTGCTCCCAAACCAATTGTGTATTTCATTACAAAAAGCAGTTATACCATACTATGTTTAGGTACTAATGAATTATATCCTCAAAACAAACACACACATAAAATAACAAAGGAAAATACATAATTTAATAAATCCACAATATGATAACATTTTACAGATTAATTTAATAAACTTTTACAAAACATAGGTTGATGTTATATTGGGGGGGGGAAAATACATATTTAAACATTTCAATTAGTCTCTGCATATTTAAAGACCCCGTGAAGTGTGCGCCTGTGCATGATCTGTTATGCTAATACGTATAGTAATGACCAAAATTGTCCATTGGAACCATATCAAAAGATGTTGGAATAGCAACGAATTTGACGAGTTTGAATTTGCCGCAGGGAAATCCGCAGTTGACCTCCGCCTTCGTGGGCGTGGCTTGCGATCTACTGCGTGACGTCACGAGATGGTCGCCGCCGAAGTGTTTACATTCATCACAGTTTATTGTTTCTCTGTTCAAAGTCGAATTTATCAAAGTTTTTGAGCGAGTATTTTACTGGAAAGTGTGTCGGAGTCGACTGGAAGTGATTGCCAATCGAGAAAAACCTGACAATGGAGGCGACAGTGAAGAAAAAAGGGAGGAAAAACACACGGGAAGCGATGCATTGCCGCTGGCCGTATTAATGTCAAGTCTGCCGAAGTGGCGATGTTTCTGTTCCCAAAAGATGAAGGTGAGCCTGGCTGGTGTCATTGTTTCGTAGATTCGTTGATTGTTCATGACAAATAGAGGCCACTGGTCGATTCGAGAGAGAAAGAGAGACTGAGAGAGTTACAGGGTTGTTGTTAGCATCTGGTGCTAGCTCGGAGCTAACGGAGATTTGCTGTTTCAACAATAAGGAGAGGGAGAGTCCTCTCCTGTGGGACTGAGAGAGATAACGTCAGCTCAGGGAGGTAAAGGACTCTGAGTGATTAGATTGTAAACTGTAGCCTAAGTTATCTCAGTGGGGTTTAATAATTTAATAGTTTAATAATACTCTAGCACATGACATGTACATAAGCTAATTATTTCCCAGAGGCTGAGCCCAAGCAGAGATTTTAAACAAGGCAAAGGACCCTTCAGTCTTCACGCCCCCCCCTATTTTCCAATCGACAGTGACAGCACAGTCACTGCTAACCTGCTAACCATTCAGTGTTCTGTAGCCGGTCAATGTCTTCCCCATCGTCCATGTCGTCGCCATTATCCTCCCCACTTGACGTCCATGGCGGCTCAAATCTGTAGGGTTCAATGAGTGTCCCTGCACTTCCATCTTCTGTGCCACTTTCCTCATCTATCCTGTCAAAATCAATCATTTCCTCTCGCACTTGTATCACTTTCCAAAGTCTCCGCCATGTTTACAATCACAACAGGGCCCATCTTGTGACGTCACAGAGCCGATATCGTCTGCAACTTCCGGTAGGCTTAGACGGCCGTAATTATTAAAATTAATAATGAATTAAGTAATAATTAAAAAAATATTTTAGCCATGAACAGGCGCAATGATATGTAAGGAATGAAACTGCCATTTCATTTTGGCGCAAAAACATGCACTTCACGGGCACTTTAGTAATGCTAGTTTATATAACAGATGAACAGATGTACAATATCCAGAAAGTAGATGCAAAAATATATATAATGTGTGCATTTCCAACATATCCTCTGAAAGATTGTTAGTTGTTGAGTTGAGTAGTGAGCCTTTAGTTTTTTTTCGTGGTGTCTGCTGAGAAGTCCTTGTATGCCTCACTGACTTTGAGGCCATCTGGGTCTGGCAGCTCCCCCCGCACGGCCTTGTAACATGTACTCCTTTGAACATCTTTATATAATAATTAGGACTTTAAGAACAATGTTACACTCAGACAACAATCACAAAGTTGTAGCAGGCTACATACAATTACTTAGGACAATATATATTACCTGCTTACACCGTCAGCAACTGTAAACTGCTTTGGCTTAGTGGAAATGAACACCATGTCACTCACTCTGCCTGGTTTCACACCCTATTAATTACACAAAATAATTGTCAAATTAATTGAAAAGGTTGTTGATGAAACATACTAAATCAGCTCTTGGCACAAAGGAAATACTCATTAAACCGTGGATTGTTGTGAACACATACTGTACTTACCATGGTTCTTGGCTTGTGCCATCGCTGCTCTGTTTCAGTGCAGCTGAGCAGGCCAGGTAGAGTGTGGAGTAGTGTGCGGTCTGGAACAGCAGTGCAACATTGTGGTTGCAGAGTGCTGTTCCAGCTACACAGGAACACTTTGTCACTGCAATCTCCACAGGTGAACAGTTCTTAAAACAAAATGTCAGTATTTACATTTAGGACACTGCTTCAATACAACACAGACAAATGAGAAAGCTGAGAGCAGGCTGATCAGTAGTAGTAGGTGTGGGAAAAGGCTAAAACCATGTCAGGTTGTCATCACAATACACAGAAGTTCTGCTGTTTGGAATACTGTCATTTAAGGACATTCAAACAGATACCTTGTATTGCCTGTCTCAGCTCTCTCAATGTATTATCTTATATTATAACTACATAAAATAGTGTTAGTAGAACGTTGAACAGCTTAACATAGATGTAGGGTACACAACCAGCAACTTACCTAACACTGGCCAATACAAATAATTGGACACTACATGGATTATACGAACCATTCAGTAAAGAACAGCAGCTGTCACAAACAGTTTCTATTGTCACTATGTATCTGTTGCAACACGTCAGCTAGCTGGGCTTATTTGAATCCTAAATCACAGGTTACCCTACTCTAGCCACAATCAAAACCCAGAACATGAACCTGATTGAGGCTTTGAACCGATGAACACTTTTTTATTTTCTCTCCCTACTCTGAGATCGTGAGGCTTTTCATGCTTTCCTCATGGACCTGTAACAGCTAGCCCTGATGCTCACTTCACTCTCCCTGAAGGTAGATCTTTGTTTGAAACTGTGGGGAATTGGCAGAGGTGGGACCAAGTCATTGTTTTGCAAGTCCGAGTCAAGTCTCAAGTCTTTGCGCTCAAGTCCGAGTCAAGTCTCAAGTCATTGTTTTGCAAGTCCAAGTCAAGTCTCAAGTCAGGATGGGCAAGTTCAAGTCAAGTCAAGTCCTAAACTTTGACAAAACGAGTCATAAACAAGTCATTATGTGTTTTTTCACCAAATGTAATGACATCGATCAACAGAATAATACTTAATATCAACAGCTCTTTATTAGTCACATTAATAATTTAATAATCCATTTCTCTCTGCTGGTAAAGTAACGTGTGTTTTTCTAATTTAAGAGGGATCAGTAAGGTAAGGCTACCATGACGGTTTGATTCAGAAGGAGTTTAATGGATAAGATCCCTGATGTTAAGGTGACCAGAATGTTTATTTCTACTATGTACAACATGTTATAAGGGACCCACAATCTATCTTTATGCAAGGGATAATGTGCAGCGAGGCGGTCTCTATGGGGAAGAGAACACCTGAATCTAGATCCCTCTGCAGGTGGTACTTTAAGTATATTTTGATGCTAATACTTTTGTACTTTTACTTGTAACATTTTGAATGCAGGACTTTTTATTGTACAGGGTTCCTGCAGGTTTCGCCAACTCAAATTTAAGACTTTTTAACACCTTTTTAAGACCACTTTGAATAGAATTTAAGACCTATTTCACGGCAATAAAGTATGAAGGAAAATGTAAATAAAGAAGAAATACGTCCCATAATCACTTACAAAGTAAATGTATTCATGTTCAACATAAGAACAGTGACTGAACACAACAGCGTAACAGTACAGAACTGTGTTAGCGTGTTAGACAAAAAGTGTGCGTCTGTGTGTGTGTGTGTGTGTGTGTGTGTGTGTGTGTGTGTGTGTTAGGGCTGTGCAATTAATCATATTTTAATCGCAATTACGATTTTGGCCTGCCACAATTACGAAAACAACATAATCGTAAAAAAACGATTATTTTGCTTTGATAGGTTGTGACAGTGCACTACAACATATTTGATCTAATTAATTTTTTAGTAATGTATCATGTATTTAATTAATTTTTGTATTAGTTTTTCAGTTGAATTATACGTTCAGGGTAATCAACAGTTAAAAAGATACTGTTCAAATTATTATCTGTTTTAAAGTTCAATAAATGGATGTTTTCAAAGTCAATTCAATTCAATTCAAAACCTTTATTATACAGATAAAACCCATTGAGATCATAGACCTCTTTTACAATGGTGACCTGCTTCAATTAGTTCCAAACATTAATACAAACATGACAATGTAATCATATTTATCATAATCATATTTAATAATCGTGATATTAATTATTGACCAACATAATCTTGATTATTGCCATAATCGAGCAGCCCTAGTGTGTGTGTGTGTGTGTGTGTGTGTGTGTGTGTGTGTGTGTGTGTGTGTGTGTGTGTGTGTGTGTGTGTGTGTGTGTGTGTGTGTGTGTGTGTGTGTGTGTGTGTGTCTGAGAGAGAGTGACAAGAGCTATATTCAGAGCTCTGCTGCCTTGGCTACACTATTTCATCGTTGCTGTTGTATGATTGGTGTTTAGCTACGGTATTTAGCGTCTACAGCACCTCCGCTTTTAGGGTTGACGTAGACCCAAACTTAGCCCCGGAGGTCCCCCGGTGTGTTGCGGGAGCTGCTGCATTAGCTGCTGCTGCACTAGCTAACGCTGCATTAGCTGCTGCTGCACTAGCTAACGCTCCACTAGCAAAACAAACACTAATTTATTTTTGCAAAAGGTGCAGCGGGCTTCAAACACGTTCCCTCCACTGGTTTCAACCAAGCACTAAATTAGATGTTTTCCAACCAAATACGGTTGAACTTACACTTCCCCATATTTATTTGTAAGTAGATTCGAAGATAGGCTATGTATATACTCGCATTTTAGACTCTGTTACTAACTGTATATCTGTAGACTTGGTATGTCTTAAATGTCCGGTTAGGATGTATTAGAACGAAATCTAAAATAAAAATTGTAAATAAGCAATCTGTATGTAAAAAACCACCTGTATGTAAATTGTAAATAAGCCATCTGTATGTCAAATATGTCTTATATGTCTTAAATGACATGATGAATTGGAAATGGGGGACCCTGATGTAAACAAGACGAAAGTCTTTCTCTGGTCTGCATCCCCTTAACAATTGTATGTTTTGAGCTGTACTGTACTGTACCCAATATACAAGCTGTTAATAAACTTTTCAATCAATCAATCAATCAGGCTACATGAGCTGAAGCTTGGTTGCTAGGTTACTAGCTGGGTGTTCTCCAATAGGGGCCGGGGGAAACAAAGTTAGTGATTACTGGTTCCATGTTGATTTAATTCAATACAAATTGTTGGGGGGAACTGAAAGGCTATTACCGTACTGGTTACTTTGCAGCCCGGACATTTCCCCCAAAACACATTTAGACGCTATCGCAACATAGAAGTACCTTTCAAATCTGATAATTTTTAAGACCTTCTGAATCATATTTAAGACCTTTTAAGGCCTTAAATTCTGATTATCAAATGTAAGACTTTTTAAGACTTGTTAAGACCCCGCGGGAACCCTGATTGTAACTTTTTTTTAATTGTCTGAACTTCTCCCACCTCTGACAATAAATCCTGAGTGTTTACCCTGCTCTGAAGGTTATTTTCATTTTACAAATCCTGCACTCAGCTTTGCTTTCTCCAATATCATTGAAAAGCAGCCAGATGCTGCTTCTTTTTTCGGTTTTCGCTCATTTCTTGACTTTTTCCGACGCGCTTGCATTTAAATCCGGCTCCCCGTCTCCCCGTCGCTCTGCACATGCTGTGCCCCCACCCTTCTTTCACATAATGGTATGATCCTAGTGTGTCCTCGCATATGATTGGCCGCATGGTGGCCCAGCTAAATAAAGACCCGCCCCTGCCTGCAAGGATTCTCAGCAAGAGTAGGAGCGGCTGAAGATTCTGCTTTCCCCGACGGGAGTCTGCTCTTCTAGCGGTAGCTCGCGATCGGCGTGTTGGAGACCTCTGAATTAAAGTAGCAAGTCACCTCAAGTCAGAAGGCTCAAGTCCAAGTCAAGTCCTGAGTCATTGGTGTTCAAGTCCAAGTCGAGTCGCAAGTCTTTTGTGATGTTGTCAAGTCGAGTCTCAAGTCATAAAATGTGTGACTCGAGTCTGACTCGAGTCCAAGTCATGTGACTCGAGTCCACACCTCTGGGAATTGGATATCATTCATGTTATCCAAGAAAACGTAATAGGACATCATTAAAACGCTTTACACTGTATCAAGACTGTCAATTTATCAAAGTTAGCCAGTACAGCTTTGTTTGTCACTTACCTTCATAATTGTCGACGTAGCAGGATATGTAGCTACATCTTGAACCCCTTTTCTCTTTTGCTCCTTGGGGCTGAGCCTGCCGCTTGTACCAGCCGATGTACATCACTGATGTTAACCTTCGGTAGGTCTGGAGACATCGAGTGTAAAATAGTGCCTATATAATATCTATACGCTATCTCTCTCGCTATCTATACGCTATCTATCGCTCTTCCCTCTACCGCTCTACTGTAGACCGGAAGTTTACAATCGCACACCCCAGCCGCCGGAAGTTGATAGACGCCATCTTGTGCAACTAGCTCATTACACATAGATTAAACATTGTCCAACATCATTTTGGATTCCCGTAGGTCATTAATTTATATAGAATGAACGACGTGTGACTGTAAATAGACTTCTACCGTCGTACCTATTCATTAAAAAATAAAAGCTCCTCAGGTTTTTATTTATTTCCTATCTAAATGAAATAATGGAATACCTTAGCTATGTTACAGTGTGATTAAAACAGATATATATATATAAGTTTATTATAAATCTGCTCAATCCAATTCCAGAATGTCATTTGGTATATCCTGACGCCAAATTATTGGCGCCTCTACACCATAACTTGATGCTTCATTTACTAATATATAAACCGTGTTTGTGAATTATTATCATCAACTATAAGACATAATAAAGCAACATTTGACTACAAAATCACAATGTTCTCATTTCAGATTTTATTGCCCATTCACACACCCATGCAAACCTTCCAGCATCCATATTTGTATGCACACAATCTTCCATGAGCAGAACAAAATGACATCTTAAATAAGTAACAAAGGAGATTCCAGTCAAATCTACTGCAACTGGAAAGGTGAAGCCGTTTTCAAGTAATCGTCAAATTCAATTAATATATTAAGGATTTCAAGAGAGTGCACTTCTCATGTCAGACACAAAGTAACACTGAAATCTCAGGACCCTTCCCTGTCTTTCAAAAACATGTCCAATATAAGGCTAATTTAGTGTAAATGTGAGGTCAAAACAGCAGAGTCCAACGAATCGACTAGCCATGTATAGCAGAGCTGTTGAATACTTGAATTGAGGCGGCAGAAAAAACATTAACACACCAGTATGAAAAAGAAAAGACCTACTTTAGAACTGCTCTCTGTAGTAAAACAATAACCTAACAGCGTATACTGAGTGTGTGTTGTCTGTGTGTCTCAGGTCCTCATTTAACATCTTATCCACTTTTACCCATGCTAAAAATTCTAAATCTGATCATAAGCATTTTAAATCAGTTAACATGACGAGGAGTGGGTCTCTTGAGTGGACTCTGCTGCGATGCCCCCCCCACTCTTCTTCAACTGGTGTATTGTCGGCCTTGAGTAAAGCCAGCTTGGTTGTAGTGCTGCCCGCCTTGTTGGAAGAACTGTTCAACTGTCCTCCTTGATTAAATTCTGCCCCCCTCTCCCTCCCCAGCCTCCACCTTGTCCTCCTCCTGCTCCTCCTGCTCCTCCTCCTGCTCCTCCTCCTGCTCCTCCTGCTCCTCCTACTCTCCTACTCTCCTACTCTCCTCCTCTGCTCCTCCTCCTCGGCTCCTCTTCCCCTGCCCCCGCGACCCTCCTCGACCCCCGCCTCTCTCCTGATGGTTATTGTCATGGTGACCGCCTCCGCCTCCTCCGTGGAAAGCAGAGTCCTGAAAGCCTGCTTGGTTGTTCCCTCCTCCTCCGTAGCCCCCTCTCCCTCCTCCCCCCTGATGAACCTCCTGCATCTTGATAGTGGCCCTGGTTGTAGGAGCCTCTCCCTCCTCCACCTCCTTCTCCCCAGCCTCCCTGCACCTTCCCCCCTCTGCTGCTGCTGCTGCTGCCTCCTCCTCCTCCTCCTCTCCTCCTCCCCTCCTCCTCCTCCTCCACCCTCCTCCTCCTCTACCACCTCCTCTCTCATATCCTCCACGTCCACCTTGGGAGTATTGGTCGTAGACCCCCCTGCTGCCTCCATGCCCACTCCCACTGTAGTGTCCTCCGCCTTGGGGGGCATCCTGACGCTTCTGCCAGGAGGGCATCTCTGGGGAGGAGCCTCGATCTCACAGGGCGGCCCCCCCTGTCTGGGGACTCGGCCCATTAGAACCTGAAAAATAGACACACGTTTAAATCTTTGCTTTGTTTAGCTCTAGTTTCTGTCACTTGACGGCACAAAGGAAAGTATCATAAATCCAATTATGTAAAGACCGTCTGCTGGCTCTTTAGTCTATCAGGGCTTCCTTCGTAGAGTGGAGTTAGCATTAGCCCAGAAGTTAGCATTGCAAGGGCTCCCTCGCCAAAAAGCATGGAATTTTCCATTGGATTTTGGAATATTGCAGCAGTGTTGAGCACTCTGACTGATTCGGAACACGCTCCAAACAGCCACTGCACTGGTAATATGTAATCATCAGTTATTGAACTGTTTACTTCAAACAGCTTTAGCCCATATTTAAATGGCCAAACATGTGCTATGCAACACAGAACAGTCATGAGAACATTACTTCTTGCACTTATAAACAGAGACGGGAATGCACAGCATTGAATATTGCATGAAAACGTTTGACTCCTCAGTTTTGAACCTACCTTATTAATGGCACAGGCAGTCTTCTCCCGGATCTTGCCACTGCTCGTGCGCAGGATCTTGGAGAAGTCTTGTCGAGCAGCGAGGAGGTGAGCGACAGAGATGTTACTTTTGGTGGCAGAGAGCAGAACGCAGCGGCTGGTAAACACTGGCCAACTTCTCAGCATGCGTCTGTAAAGAGACAAACACAAGGGAGGGTTTTCATTTTATGAGACAACAATATATTCAATATATCCGTCATGTTTTATATATATATATATGTTGTACCACTTATGGTGTGCAGGATTGATTTGATTTATTTTTGAATATGATAGTCAATCAGAAGCAGCGATTTAAAGGGTATAATATTGTGTCACGTAGTCCCACTTGGATTGATTTAATGGAATGACAGAAAAAATAAAAATCGATTAGAAAATAGTGAAAGCATTTTCAAGTTTTTATAAAAAATAAACAATTAAATCAACAAAGTCACACTTATTGATATTGACAATACTCGTAAGTAATCGTTTTCTAATGCATCTACATGCTTCGGTGTCTATGTATGGCATTTACATTCACTTTCCTTCCCTTGTTAAACTCCTTTCTCCCCTCAGCAGGGCAAAAGAACACACACGTGAACAAGAGGGGCCCAACCTAGATATTGCTAAGTAAACACAAAGTGTCCAGACGTCCTCTGTGAAATGCTTCAGTTGTGCTTCATCCACAATGAGGAAGCTTCCACGTACCTTGGCTCTGTCAGACCAACCGAAGGACTGCACGGTCACATCGAGACGTTTCAACAACATTTTCCTTCTCATTTCATACTCATTCACAAGTGCTTGGTTGATGGCTTCAATTTTTTCCTGGAAAAGAGAGAATTGTAATGTATTGTTATATGTTTCCTTAAAAAACGTTCTGTTTCTTGATAGTGTTTCGTTATTCACCACGTGCACAGGTCCAAGGGCTTCTTCATCAGAGGCTCTCCTACGTGATGTGGTGGGACTTTACTCATGGCTTCTTTTCAGCTGGGAAGATATATGGACATTTCGATGGTAGATCAAACAGAAAATACAACATATTAAACCACACTTAGGATAGCAATGTGTAAGGCTCATTGACACATTGTTGTACATTTATTCAAGTACTGTACACAAGTATAATTATGAGGCATTTTATACGAGACCTGTGTATTTTTCAATGTTATGCTACTTTATATATTTCTTACTCCACTACATTTAGAAAGTCAAAATTGTATTTTTTACTCCATTACATTTATCTGACTGATTTAGCTACTTTACAGATTAAGATGATACCTTTGCAAAAATAATAACTACACTAAACAATAAATATAAAATAATTCAGCAGCAGTATTACAGTAATTCAAATGAGTGCAACCTTTACAGCTGTGATAGACTAAAGGTGAAAACAAACATACAGCTCTGGAAATAAGGAAGAGACCCCTGCAGCATTATCGGTTCCTCTGGTTTCATTATTTATATGTGTTTAAGTCAAATTAACATCTTTTTATTTGATTCTATAAGCTACTGAAAACATGTCCTCTGTGTTGGAATTCAACAGACACTGGAATGGAATGGCTGCCATACATGTAGAGATTGAGATTCAAGAACAATTTGGAGCGGTCTCTTCATTTTTTCAGGCGGCTGTAATACAGTCATTTAATAAACATATATGATTCTGAAATGGACCGTTTATGCTTAACTACTTTTAGTATATTTTGATGCAAATACTATAGTGCTTTACTTAAAGGTCCCATGTCATGGTTTTCCGGTTATTACCCGTCCCCTTGTGTGTTATGAAGGTTTTATGCATGTAAACGGTGTGCAGAGTCAAAACCCTCGAAGTACACCCTGTAGCGAGTAAACTCTAACACAGAGAATACCTCCCCAGAACGCCTCGTTGGAGATACGTCACTGTCCATTTGATTCTTCCGGGTACGCATGATGTCAACCGTACCCGGAACGAAATGGACCAATCCGTGGAGCCGTTACGTTAAGCCCCCGCTGATTGGTTCAAATTGACCAATCCACGGACTTCCTCACACACTCAGTGCAAGCAGCTCTGCTGATTTCTCCTCCCTGGCTGCAGGCTGATAACAGACAGTTGGGGTCGCGGCGAAATTCTCTCTGCAGACCCATTCTCACTGCAGACCCATTCTCTCTACAGACCCATTCTCTCTACAGACCCATTCTCTCTGCAGACCCATTCTCTCTGCAGACCCATTCTCTCTACAGACCCATTCTCTCTGCAGACCCATTCTCTCTGCAGACCCATTCTCACTGCAGACCCATTCTCTCTACAGACCCATTCTCTCTGCAGACCCGTTCTCTCTGCAGACCCGTTCTCTCTACAGACCCATTCTCTCTGCAGACCCATTCTCTCAGTGTTTATCAACCTTTTTCTTACTCAATATCAAGCCACACTTATTGTTTTTACTTTGGCTGTGACTTTGTGTGTGCTCAGGATGAGTTTGGCTGTGTTTCCCTGTGTATCGCTAAACAAGGAAACAACACCTCCACGGAGCTTAGCGCGATTCACAACGTCCCGACCAATCAGAGCACACTGTGCTCACAGGGAGGGTGGGGGCTGGAGCTATTGGAGCTACAACGAGCCGTTAAAGGCAGAGAGTGAAATTCAGTGAATACACGTAGTTTACAGAGATGCTGTTTGAGAAACCAATGTGAGTTTGGAAAATTGCACAATATAAATCTATTCTAGTAGACCTCAACAATGGAATTATGATCAGTGGAAATGGCCATGACATGGGACCTTTAAATAAGATTTTAAATGCAGGACTTTTACTTGTAACAGAGTATTTAATAATATCTTATTACTTAATTTACCATTGGCATGTTTATGCCTAAACATGAAAAACAATAAAAAGGCATAGAGAAAAAGATTCAAATGGTCGATTGACACACTATGACTTTTACAATCCGACAGCACTGGAGGGTTTTCTGCAGCTACTGTCAGGAACTCAGGCGGAATGGCAGCTTGAGATGCAGGTAAACCCTGTTCACTTTTTCTTGTCAGAGCATCCATCGTCTGTCTCCAGACCTACTGACCTTCTTCTCTATGCCGCTGAAGAACTGGAACATAGTGATGTTGGCTGGAGGCTTGGACATGCCCAGGGCCATGCAGATGCCCTTCAGCTCCAGGAACATGGGGCTGCCCGACTCCTGGCTTTTCTTTTCAGGCTTATTAACCAGGATCATCCTCGACGCCTCCAACTCAGACACCAGGAAGGCTGCGGAAAAAAATGGATGGGTTAAAATGTATTCACAGCCTACTTATGTTTCAGAAAGTCATATTTAGAAACTGTTTCAATGCTATGTGAAATTGACCAAATCAAAGTAACAAAATAACAACAGAAAATACACCAGAAATGTATTTAAGAATGATTGAATTCATTGTTCTGGCATACAGAAATCCACCTGTCATAGACCAATGTTTGGTCAGCTGTCAAAAGATCCATTATAAATGGTACATATTGTTTTAATATTACTTTTATATTGTGTATTATTTGTGATATGTCTTTCTACTATGTTTAGATTTTAAAATGTACCGTTTATTTTTTCATTTTATTATGTTTAAACACACTGTTGCTCCTGTAACACAAGAATTTCCCAATGTGGGATGAATAAAGTATCTACACATAAAACTGTAGCTGCTTTATAACCGGCAGTTCAGGTTGTCTGCATCTTTCAAAATAAATGTTGCTTCCCATTTTTCTTTTGGTCTTGTTTATGGTAACATTGCAAAGTTCACTGTTGGTCTCTCTTTGTGTCAACAATGAGGATACATTTATCTTGTGAGGTTCAGCGTGAGGTTCAGAGTGAGGTTCAGAGTGAGGTTCAGTGTGAGGGTTAGAATGAGGTTCAGAGTGAGGTTCAGCGTGAGGTTCAGAGTGAGGGTTAGAGTGAGGTTCAGCGTGAGGTTCAGAGTGAGGTTCAGAGTGAGGTTCAGAGTGAGGGTTAGAGTGAGGTTCAGCGTGAGGTTCAGAGTGAGGTTCAGAGTGAGGGTTAGAGTGAGGTTCAGCGTGAGGTTCAGTGTGAAGGTTAGAGTGAGGTTCAGAGTGAGGTTCAGAGTGAGGTTCAGAGTGAGGTTCAGAGTGAGGTTCAGAGTGAGGTTCAGAGTGAGGTTCAGAGTGAGGTTCAGTGTGAGGGTTAGAATGAGGTTCAGAGTGAGGTTCAGCGTGAGGTTCAGAGTGAGGGTTAGAGTGAGGTTCAGCGTGAGGTTCAGAGTGAGGTTCAGAGTGAGGTTCAGAGTGAGGGTTAGAGTGAGGTTCAGCGTGAGGTTCAGAGTGAGGTTCAGAGTGAGGGTTAGAGTGAGGTTCAGCGTGAGGTTCAGTGTGAAGGTTAGAGTGAGGTTCAGAGTGAGGTTCAGAGTGAGGTTCAGCGTGAGGGTTAGAGAGGTTCAACGTGAGGTTTAGAGTGAGGTTCAGAGTGAGGTTCAGCGTGAGGGTTAGAGTGAGGTTCAGCGTGAGGTTCAGAGTGAGGTTCAGTGTGAGGTTCAGAGTGAGGTTCAGAGTGAGGGTTAGAGTGAGGTTCAGAGTGAGGTTCAGTGTGAGGTTCAGAGTGAGGTTCAGAGTGAGGTTCAGCGTGAGGTTCAGCGTGAGGTTCAGCGTGAGGTCTCAGAGTGAGGTTCAGCGTGAGGATCAGCGTGAGTCAGTGAGGATCAGCGTGAGGTTCAGCGTGAGTTCAGAGTGAGGTCAGAGTTGAGGTTCAGCGTGAGGTTCAGCGTGAGGTCAGCGTGAGGTTCAGTGTGAGCAGCGCAGGGATTAATGTAGCTGCACAGCAACGTGCAACATTATAAGGAAATATCTGTCCAGCTTTGAGTGTGGCAACTAGCCATCATGAACAACACAGACACACCTTAACGACTACCTGCTGTTATTAACATCACTAGTTACACCTTTGTTTGAAATGTCAGGATATTTGCTGGAAGAACAGCTTACAGTATGGTGGAAAATTAAACAGTGGAACATCCAGACTTGTTGCTCTACACACCTTTTTAAAAAACACAGTAACAAAATAGTTGCTCTAAATAGCAAATTATTTGAGAGTACTACTCATGGATACCAGATGTTACTTTGTTCAGTTGGTACTGTCCACTGGTTACTGTCACTGTCACACCAATGCGTTTAGTATTGTATGATAACCAGGGTTGGGGGTAACGCGCTACAAGTAACTCAGCTAAGAAAACAAGGCTGAGGTCTGTATGCAGTACTGTCCTTATTAGATTAAGGATTTGTGCTGATCTGGGCTTAATGAGGTTAAACTATATATTGTTTTTTGTCATTTGATTTATGGCCCATCTAAGGTGATGTTACAGAGTAATCCAAAAGTAATGTAACTAGTAGTGTAACTAATTACTTTCAGCAGTGAGTAACCAAGTAAAGTGGCATTAGTTGCTGTATCTTACTGAGGAGCAGCAGGCAGTCGGTGCTGTTCAGGAACCTCTGGGTGATGTCTCCGCTGGCGAGGACAGGGTTACGGACAGGCCAGCTCCGACAGCAGGCGCTCATCTCCAGCTGGAAGGCCTCGGCCTCACTCGGACCTGCGGGGGGGGGGGGGGCAGGGTAGACGAACACATTAAACATGATGACATAAGACAAGGAAAAGGTCTGCTCTCTCTCTCTTAGAGAGAACGTGTCTGTTACAATAACTAGTTACATGTCAAAAACATCAGTAACCTAATCTGAATATCACAATATGAAAGTAATGTCACCTGATTGCCTCAATATCAAATACAATGCAAATGAAAACAAGACAGTATAAATATCATTAAGATGTGTGTATGCAACGATGTAACCTTAGGAAAGAAGAAACCGAGATATTTCATATAAAAAATAGTAACAGTACATTTTACAAACTCTCTGTAAATGTAATATATTAATCAAAAGCATAGACTATATTTTTGTTTAATAAATCCACCTACCTAGGTATCCACCTACTGCATTATACAATACATTTAAAATAAAGAAGAACCAAAGTAGCATAAATATAAACCATTCAAACAATTCATTCAGTACATCGACATTTAATAATATAATAAACATTGTTATCCTGCTAGTAATCTCCATTTTCTTTTTTAAATGTAGCAGTAATTTGATTACTTGTTTTTTAATGTATTTGTAATCGAATACGGTTACCTGTTTTTTGTATCATAATGATGTAATCTAACTACATGTAACCCGTTACTCCCCAAGCCTGGTGACAGGTGATTAAGAATAGCCCCCCCCTCTACCATTGGATAATATCTTACTAATCAGGCCTAATTATTCAATATTGGACAATATCCAAACCTCAGCACGAGTCATCAACATAAGCACATATGACATTTGTTTTGCCATTGTCATCAACCCCAACCTCACAAGAGAACATGATAGAGAACAACCAGTGATGAGTCTCACAGTTAGTGGCGTGCACATTCTCCTCCAGCTGGCAGTAGAGCCTCAGCTCGGTGCTGATCCAGGCACAGAGCTTAGTGAACTCAGGGGAAGCTGCTCCTCCGCTCAATGCACCATCCAGAGCTCCATCCTCCAACAGAGGGCCCTGGTACCTGCAGACACACAGATCATGTTAAAGCACCTCCACCCGGACAGGCACGGCGCGAGGCTCCATCAGGACAGCATGCAGCAGTGATAAGCTGTCCTGAGGTTCAAAGAGCAGACTCCAGTC